TGTGCTCGAGCGGTTTGCTTCTGTCTGCAAAACTTTTGAGAAGGTACCAATGTGCAATCGAGCGGTCCTTTTGTTTGCTTGGGCGGTCTCACTTATTGTGCCTGGTCGCTCGAGCAATCTGCTCGTATATCAGTTCGTAAAAGTTACTTTTTGAGTCATTTTTTCATCTCTCTCTTTCTCTAAACATTTCAAAACCTCAGATCCATACACACACACACACACACACTCTCTCTCTCTCTAAAACTCATCTTAAATCCTCAAATACACTATCATCTATTGATCTCTATACCCTAGTCCCTTTGATAAAAAAGTAGAGCTCACCTGGAGCTTTATTCTAATTGGAATAAATTTGATTTTCGACTTCGTCGAGGTTTCTTCACTCTATCTCTTGCCCTCTAGCTTTGTGGTAGGGACTTCTCCACACTTTTGTATGATTTTTAACTTGGTTATTTATCGTTTCAAAGAAAACCATGGGATTTGGAGATTTTGGATGTAATCTAGGGTTTGGTTTTGAAATCAAAAGATGGGTTTTTAAATGAATTCTTGAAAATGGTTGTGGGATTATAAATATGGTTGCACTATGTTCAAATGGTAGTTGTTGATACTCGGAATTGATATTTGAAGAAAATGAGATTTTTCCCTAAAATCTCAAATGTTTGATTTGTAAAGAAAGAAATAGAAATGATGTTGGATTTTTGTAAAATTGGAATGATACAATGTTGATGATAATGGCAGAGTCGGATATGTATTACACTCTTATATTGAAATTTTGGAAAGTATATCTTTATTGGAAATTATCTATCTGTTTAGAGATATCTATTTTGGGCTATCGATGGAGGATAACTATGATTGTTATAAAAATTACATGAGAATTAGGCGAATTGAAACTAATTTTTCATCTATTTGCATTGAGCATTGTTGCATACTTAACACATTGAAAATGTATATTGTTTTTGAGAAAAAAAAGGGTGAGTACCTTGGTGAATCTAGGTAGGGGGTGTGGTTGTGGTATTATGTTGGCCTGTGTGTTCATAGTGAAAGTCCAGAAAACTACGCGGTTAGGTGTTGAGCCTTCTATAACAATCTTGATTTAAACCCAACCCATTTATTGTTTTTGAATCTGGAAAACCATATTCGTGATGGTCGTTCCTTTCTCTTCATGTTTGGTTTTGGCTTCAGGGGTCGACACCATCCTTGTTAGTGTCGACACTGCCTTTTTTTCTTTGTCTTGTTTTGGTCTAAGGGTCAACACTAGCCTTGGTGGTGTCGACACCATCTTGCTGCTGGGTTCCTAGATCGCTACTGAAATTTAAGGTCGACTACAGCCTTTGGTGGTGTCGACACCTGCCTCTTTTTGTTAGCCTTTGGGGTCGACACTAATGTGGGAGGTGTCGACCCTTGTCTATTGCAGAATTTGGGTTCATCTACTGAAATTTAGTGACGACACCTCTGGTCTGAGGGTCGACACCTTGTCTACTACCAAACACAAGTGTTTCAGCTTTCTTCTTGAGGGTCGACACCACTGTTGCAAAGGTCGACCCTTGTGACTCTTTTTTCAAATTTTGCTTGGCTTGGGTCCTACTTTTTGGAGATTTTTGACTTGTTCTTTTCATTTGATCTTGGAACTATTATTCTATTAATACATAGTCACTATAAATAGACCCATAGTCACTCTCTCTCATTAGTTTTTCTCTTTTTACCTCTCTCACTTGTGACTTCCTCTCTTTTTCTCTAAACTCACTTTTCTTACTTAAGATCTTCAGATCTACTCACCTAGAGGTACCATCTCATATTGGTCCTTTGAGATAACTTGTAGATCTTGTCAAGAGTTTCATTTTGATCAGAGTAGCTCGTGGTCTCGTTGACGTTAAGCTTTTCCGAGTTCTTTTCTTGTACCTTCCAAGCTTAAGGTAGGGATTCTTCGCACCTCCTTATGGGTTTTAACTTAGTTATTTGTTTTTATAAAACTATCTTGTGAAAGAAATAGACTTTTGAACAATCTTGGGTTCTGGTTCGAAATAAAAAGGAGGGGTTTTTGAAATGGTTTATTGGAAATGGTTGTTGGATTGGACATGAGGTGTAGAGGTAACAAAATGGTCGCCCTTGATATTTGGTATTGGTCTTAGAAGAAAAGGGGGGGGGGTTTTGCTCTAAATGTTGATTTTGTATAAATATGGTATTGATGTTGGAAATATGAAATTTAATTGTTATTGATGAAGATGGCGGAGTTGGGTATGTATTACCACTCACATATTGAAATTTGAAAAGTTTATCTTTATAGAAATTATTTTAATTTATTTGTTTAGAGATATCTGTTTTGGGTTATCAGTGGATGATATCTATGATTGTTGTAGAAATTGCATGAGAACTAGGATAACAAAAACTATTTCTCATTCATTCGCACCTAGCATTACCATATATTATCACATCTAAAATGTATATCGTTTTGAGAAAATGGTGAATACTTGGTGAATCTAGGTAGGGGGTGTGGTTACTATGATAAGTTGGCATGTGTGTCCTTGGTGAAAGACCAGAAACTCGCGCGGATAGGTGTCAAGCCTTTTAGTTAATATCGGTAAAAATGACACATTGGTATTACTTGTATAGTTTACTTGCAGACACGTATCTAGAGATTCATAGAGTTGTATTCACAGTCTAGTTTTCAATAAAAAATGAGGAAGTTTCACGAATGGTGTTATGAACCTGGCATTGCATGATTTTAAAAGAAATATAAAATGTTTTTGTCACTAGCATTGCATGCATTTCACCCTTACATCTTTTGTTAAGATTTATATGCTGCGTTGGATTATCTCTACTGGGCTTTAGCTTACCCTATGTTGGAAAAAACATTTCAGGTGATGTTATACCTCCGCCAAGACAATAGCTTGGGAGGACCTGGAGCAAGGCATCATTTTGCTATTTGTGTTTTTGTTTTGTACAAGCCAATGACTTTGATATGTATTTGGATTTAAATCCATTTTGTTGTAACCAAGTACAAACTTGGAAAGTTGTAAGCCTTTAGGGCATTCTCTTAATTGCTTATCTTTCATTTGCTTCTTTACCATGTAACACATGCTATAGATTCAGAGTTAGACTTATGAATGTATTCCCGCAGGTGTTATTCTTTTGTACAAGAAATTGGAATTCATGGAAGTTAATTATTTCATCTTGTGTTGTCATTTAAGTAACGTTGTGGATAGGTCATTGTATTTATTTTGAGACGTTACACCTTCTAGTTAGTACGGGTAAAAATAGCATTGGTAGTGCTTGTATAGCCTATTTGCAGACACGTACCTAGAGATTCCTAGAGCTAGTAATCATTGCTCTATTTTTCTGTTGTAAAGGAAATGTTTTCATTAATTGTGATATAACCTAGCATTGCATATTTTTGAAAAGAGATATAAAATGTTTTGGCATGAGTATTGCTTATGCATTCACCTTATAGCTTTGTTAAGATTAATACACTGTGTTAGAGTATCTCTATTGGGTTTTGGCTCACCCTATGTGGAAAACCATTTTTAAGTACTGATGATATGCCTCCGCTAAGAACATAACTTGGGAGGAACGTAGAGTTGGAGGCTTCTTTTTTGTTATTTGTTATATTACTTTTGTACAAGCCTAGGGCTTTAACTGTACTGAGCTTAGACCCACTTTTATTGTAACCAAGTACTGCATTGGAAAGTTGTAGTCGTTATGGTATAAAGATATCTGTTTAATCTTTATTGCATATCTTTTGCTTATAGCACATGTTATAGATTCAGGATTAGGGCTTATGAATGCATAGTTGCGTGTGCCATTTTTTGTACAATTGAGTCATGTGAATGTAAAGATATCACATTCAAAAATGTATTGCCATTTATTAATATTGTGGATGGTTTTATTGTTAATTATTTTGGGGCGTTACAAAATATAATTTAACACAAAAGAAAGTATATAAAAAATAACATGCAAACTTTTGAGATGCAGTACAAATTTCTATTTCAAAAACTTATGTGTTTTCCTCTGTTTAAATTCGAATTAATGCATATAACTTTAAGATTCAACCAAAATTATTTACAGTGATTTGATCCATGATGGACATTTATAAATATTATGTATTTCAATATAGAAGCAGGCACAAAAAATAAAAAAGAATAATTATTTTTTAGTAAGAAAAGGTATATAAATCTACTTCTCATGAGAATTGATCTTGAAAGATCCAAAGCGGAACGCATTCACAAGAATGAGCCTAGGGCTCAGAAAAAAGAGGATCTGATGAGCAAGTGTCTTGCTTGATTACAAAACACACAAAAAAAGAAGGAATCCGGATCCTCGGCCGCCCTACCCGGCGGCCCTACCCGGCAGCCCCCCAAAACGACGTCGTTTTGGGGGGCTGCCGGGTTTTTTTTTTGATAAGAAGAGAGACGATTTGTTTATATTTATATAGGACTTTCAGAATGAGATATATCGATTTTAAGTGTATAACTCTAAAAATAAAGAGAAAGATGATTTATATAAACTCTTTATAACTTTAAAAAAATATAATAAGGGGTTGTTTGGGATGATCTAAATAAGTGCACTTTTTATTTTTTTACGAAAAAATGTGCAGAAAAATAGAGAGGTGATATGATGAAAAAAAGATAAAAAAATAAAAAAATGAATTATTTTTAGATTGCTAAACTTAGCCAATATTTGAAAATATAAAATAGAGATTTTAAAAAATAAAAAAGGAAAATGTTTGAGGGCCATAATTTTTGTGACTACAATGGCTCAAAATCGTCAAAACGACGTCGTTTTGGCATGTTTTGCACCAAAAATGATGTCATTTTGACAATTTTAAACCATTATAATCATAAAAATTGTGACCCTCTAACATTGTTGAATAAAAAAATATGACAAAAATCTTCACACTTGCATAATAATAATAATATATTTTCTGAGAAAAAAAAAACAAAAAAACCCGCGTTTTACCGACTTCCAAAATAGGCCCACATACGCTATAATTATCTCGTAGGGTAGGGTAGGTTGAGTTACTTTTGTCTGCTGTCTAGGTTTTCATTGTTGTGTTGTTTCTCTCTGCCGGAAGGTATGGCCTCCGATCTGCGCATCGAAAGGAACGATTCCAAATGGGAGATTAGAGATTCACCGGCGAAGAAGCAAAGGTGCGAGGGTTACACTTCCCCACCATCTCCACCATCACCATCACCATCACCGCTTTGTTCATCAGCAGAAGAAGAAAAAGAAGACCCTAGATCTAAAATCGTATTCTATAACTACGACGATGATTCAGATGTGGAAGATGATAGTGATGGAATGCATGAGTTTACTGATAAGGAATTCCAAGAGTATGATAGACAGTTAACCCAAAGTGATGTATGTATATTCCCTCTTTCATTTGTCTCTATTTTCTTCAAAATTCTATTTACAAATTTTTATTTTATATATAAATATATATTTTATATTATTATTGTTGTAATGTAATAGAATTTGTGGGCTTACAATACATATACATATGCATTTACATATACAGGGCTTTGATGTCATGTACTTCCCACGCTCGTTTGGGTTTGGTGGAACAGAGCCGGTTTTTAACCTCGATGAGATTGCCGACGATCTCAAAACTTTTTCGGAATTGGCGCTCAAGCAATACAATGACAAAGAGGTGTATTTCTTTATTCAATTAAAGTTTTTTTTCATTGTTTTGTTTGTTTGTTTGGTTTGAGAATTAGCCTTTGTTGTTCATAATATATGTCGGAAAATATGTGTGCAGTTTAAGAAGCTGGAGTTTGTGAAGGTTGTGAAGGCAAACGTGGGTTTATGTGCTGGGTTTAAGTATTATATTACCTTTGATGTTAAGGATGCTGATGCTGTTGATGGTGGTACTATGGAATTTGAAGCTTGCGTTTGGGATGGGATCGGCCATACTGACGTACTAATTAGTAGGCTGAAAATTAGCACTTAGTCAAGGTAAATTAACTACATAGTGTATGCTTAGTACCTAAGTATTGATGCTTATTGGTGTGACAGCTTTCTATGCCTTCTCTATTGGCATTTATTTTTTGATTTTATATGAAGTATTTTTCATGTTGATATCAAGTTTTGTTTGCTTTAGTGGCGTATTATTCCTATGCTTATTTGATGATGTTTAGTAAGTGTACTTATAGAAGCCAGATAACAATTTGCAGCTCACAAGGTTTTGATTTCTTGAAACATTCTTATATCTATACATTCTAATTACTGGTTTTGTTTTCATTTTTTTGAAAATGGGAAATGGAAAATTTATTTGGTATACTGTTTTTGTTTCCAAAAATATTGAATTGATTTCAAAATTTCAAAAATTGTAATAAAAAAAAGGGTGTTTTCATTTGTCTTGAAAATGAGTTTTCATTCTCTCCTCTCTCCTATGAAGCACGGATACGTAAAAAAAGGAAGGAGACGTATCCATACTTATCGGATACCAATACTCCTTGGATACTCGCGGATACATATTGGATACTTCTTAGTTAATTTTTTTATTAATTTTGGAGTATCGGATATTTAATTTTGAAGTATCGGATACTCGAAGTCACATATTACTTCTAATGCTCTGTTATTTCTTTGATAAGAGGAATATAGTGATAGTTAAAGTAATAGAATTTGTCAAATTGATGTATTCTTATCATAGTTATCAGAATCCCGATCTGGATTCTATGATCCTATGATCTTACGATCCATTTAAATACAATCGATCCGGATTGTGTAAAACATTCCTTATAGGTAGGATCTTTCGATCCTAGTAATGAGATCTTATAGGATCATGGAATCCCGATCCAATCCGATCCTATCCGATCCAATTTACAAGCCTTATTTTGTATTGTATGACATTTTATTGTAAATTTTATGTTTGTTGTCTAAATCCAATTTATGCGGTCAAAATAAATAATGAAAATTAAGTAATATTGAATCAAATAGACTAAGAAAAACAAAGTAGAAAACAAACATTTAAATATTGCAGTAATTTAAGAAAATTAACTAATCGAAAAAATAAACTTAGCTGTAGCGGAGTCTAAGAAGGGTAAGATGATTGCAACTTTTTTCCAATTTTTGGAGAGATTATTTTTGTGACTCGAATCAGCTCCACCAGGGATGCTAACGACAAACTTTATCATTCGGTTAAGTTGTTCTTTTGAGTTCTTCTATTTTCATATCCAACTTTGTTAAAATATTTTTTCTTCACTTTTTATGCATTATTGTAGATTGTAAAGTATTTTGTTATAGAATTTTTCTTCACCTTCTTTTTTGATGAAATACAAAATTTTTACCATCGAGTTTTCTATTGTATAATATTATATGTACATTTTACACAGAGTATTATATTTTTCACAATATCTTCACTTTTTTTTAATAGAATATAGGCTCATTTTGTGTATACTTTTTAAGAAATATTTATTTAAATAAAATTATTATGTAATCTGTCTTTTTCAATAGGATCTTACGATCCTCGATCCGATTCTACGATCCGATCCTATAAACACCTCCAACGATCCAACGTAGGATCCCGATTTTAACAACCTTGATTTT